TATATATATTTAACACATATTTAACACACATTACTCTATACTGTGTATATGCATGAACCAATATTCCAGTATGAGAAAAAAATGCCACCTCTTTCTCCTGTCACCTTACCTTACAGTGTATGTTACAGAAAGGAATAAGATATGATGCAATATGCCTCAGTCAGCTTTATTTTCCTTACGTCACCTCAGCAATGTGATACAGAAGTTGTATGAATTCATTACACATTACACACAAATGTATAGACAGTATTAGATATACAGCAGTGCTTGTGTCAAAGCAATGACAAGTGATCCACAGTTTAATCCACTGACTGAGGAGTTTTTAAAAATAACCGTATAGAGAAAGATGTGTAGCTAATTATACCAAATCTTTTCAGTTGTTTAATCCCGTGATTGAAAGTTCTTCAACAAGGAAGCATGAAGAGGTCGTGTAGCACGTGTATTTCTGTGTCTAACTGTTAATTCATGGTTAAATCAAAATGTTGATCTTCTGATCTCACCCTCAGGAGTTTGGCATTTTGGCCTTGCGACATAAGTGGTTAGGGTGTGGTCACACATTTAACATGCTTTAACCTTAAAAGACAGAGCAGCAGCAGCAGGTTTCTGCCCTGTGAGATTTATTGTAAGTATAGTTTAAGGCTGTCCGCAGTTGCTATAGTAACACTGCTAGAAAGGTGAGATGGGTTTCCAGTTAGTTTGCTCCTTAATCTTCATTTTCTCTGATTCACTGCGGCTGTTGAAATTCACCTTGCTGTGTAGCACATGTTCATACTTGCCCTGTACTCGCTGAACGAACAAGCCAAAAGAATTTTCAGCTGCAGCCGTTGTTTTACCACTAAATCCTATTTTGAATTACTGCCTGATTTTTTTTTTTTTTTTTTAAACACACTATATTTTCTTTCAAGTTGTCAGTTTTTCCTACTTCTTAGCCAGGAGATGATAGAAAAGTTTTACCACAAAACTGTAAGTGACAAAAATAAACAGACATGATGTTTACTATGATGGTTTTTCTTCTTTGATTCCAAACTGGGATGCACACAGAGGAAAATCTGGAGTGAAACTGAAGTTGAATAGAGCCTCTTCACAGCAGATGTTCTGACTTGTCACACACAAAGGTGTGACTACTAACATATTTAAATACAGCAGTGTGTTGCAATAACTGCTGGAACAGTCTAACCGGTTCTTCCTATGACACGCTTCGTGTAAAAAAGGTCTGTCTGACTGGAACATCCACAGTTTGGGGAGGGGTAAGTGCTCTGTTGGGAGCATGGCTATCAAGGTCTGCAAGATCTATTCATTAAGTTAAACATGTTAAGTTCCAAATAGATTTTTGACAGGAAACAAAAGGTTAACTGCTGATGCTCATCATCAAAGAGAAACATCAAAAACTAAAATATGATGAAGGCTATCTTACTTAAGTTGAATGTCAGTGCGTCTAAATAAATGACATGACAGAAAAGTTTGGTCTAAATCAAACAAGCTTAAAACATGCAGGCAAAGAAATGGCTGCATGTGGTACGGTGTAGAATCGTAAAACAGTATGTTTGATTTGTAGTAAATGGGCCAGAACATGCAAGTGTGCAGATTTTAGTGATAGTCACATCACGGTTACAAATTAAGTCATGTCATGTCAGTCAACTCAACATGTCAAACTGAGATTATTTTTTATTCTTATTTTTTTATTCTTATTTTCAGGTGACTGTACACTAAAGAAAATATACTGATTATATTATATTCCATTTCTGCCGATGTATCCCCCTGAATCCTACACACTGGACCCTTACAGTGCTGTACTAGCTGCTGCATAGCAGACGATTCCACCCAATAATAATGTTAACTTAAAAATTATGAACTCACAAAGATAACATAATGCCTACATATCCCACAAACAATATCTCCTTTTTGACATCTATATTTAGGATGTCACTGAAAGACCTGACAGTTGTATCTCTGTTCTTCCCTGTGAGATGAGACGCTGGAACTAGGCCTTCTGCATCTCCTCTTCCTCAGCAGACTGGTAGTGTCGGTACTCTGGCTTCAGCTCCCAGGTGCTTTTGTGAACCCCTTTGCTGTTGTACGTCCCGATTTCTCTCATGATTTCTTTCAGGTAGGTCTGGGGAAAAGGTTGAAATCAACAGACCGTGACCTTTATCTCATATTTGACATGAGGTTGTATTGATTTAGACAGATGTGTTGCACATGCGTGTATAACTTGTATCCAACATGACAGAAATAACAATATATCTGTCCTTGTCTAAAGAAAAGTCAAGAGTTCTTACATTTATTGCTCTATAATGGTTCAATGTGATGCTAAATACCAAGCACAGCCTGTGTTTTTGGTGTACAAGCTGAGGAATAGTTTGACAGTTTTGCTATCTGGCAGAGAGAAAGATGAGAGGATTGATACCACTCACCTGTCTCTGAAATATGAGGCTAGAGCAAAGATATATGCTGACATAAAATCCCTCAATAAAATGACAAATCAGCTTTTACAGAGTTCGGCTTGCACTTTCCACTGGTTCCCAGTGTTTATTCAAAGTTACAAATTTAGCCAAAATTTCATACTATTGCCTTAAAGGAACTGTTGTCATAGTGGGAAAGCGGTAACACCCACATTTGTGCAGTAAATTCGTAGTGATAGTTACAGCCAGCAGCCAGTTAGCCAACTTAAACATGCAGAATGGAAAATGGGGAAACGCCCAGCTTAGCCCAGTTCCAGTAGTTGAAAGTACATTTACTCCAGTTCTGTACAATTTTTAAATCATTTTACTTTGAGTATTTCCATTTTATGATACACTTCTACCTCACTACATTCCAGAGATACATATAGTACAATCCTAAATCCCCAAAAGTTGGGACACTGTGTAAAATGTAGATAACAAGAGAATGCGTGTTTATTCAATTCAATACAGTACAAAGACAAGATATTTAATGTTCATACTGATAAACTTAGTTCATTTTTATTTGTTTTTGGTAAATACACAACTTGCGTGCCTGAAACAGGTTCCGAAATGTTGGAACAGGAGCATGTTTACCTCTGTGTTACATCACCCAAACAACACTCAATAAGCGTTTGGGAACTGAGGACACTAATTGTTGGAAGTTTTTAAGTTGAAATGCTTTCCCTTCCTTGCTTGATATATGACTAACGTTGCTCAACAGTCAGGGGCCTCCACTGCCATATTTTCAATGGGAAACAGGTCTGGACTGCAGGCAGGCTGCAGACTGTACCTGCACTCTTTTACTATGAAGCCACACGTGCAGAATGTATCTCACTGTGTTGCTGGAATAAGCAGCGACATCCCTGAAAAAGATGTCATCTGAATGGCAGCATATGTTGCTCCAAAACCTGTATGTACAAAGTTTATCAGTCTGTACATTAAATATCCTGTCTTTGTACTGTATTCAATTGAATATAGGTCAAATCAGATTTGCAAATCACAATCTGTTTTTATTGACACTTTACTCATTCTCCAAACTTTTTTTGGAATTAGAGTTGTACATTCTACTCCACTACATTTTTTTGAGAACTACAGTTACTGGTTACGCTACACTTTAATTAAGAATAACACAGTAAATAAGCAACAGATAAATTATGATATCGTTGTCTATAAAGTGGTTAAATACCTCCATCTTTATTAGCAGTAACATTAAAGTGATGTCTACATATTAATACAGCAATAATAATTATATAATAATATTATTATGAATGGGCCATTTGGCATAATGAATGATTTTGCTTTTGGTACCTTAAATATTTTGATGCTACAACTGCTGTACTTTTACTTGAGTAAATGTTTTAATGAAGCACTTGTCTTGCTACTTTCATAGAAGTAAAAGATCTGAATATTTCTTCCATCACTGCTCTGTAAAGGTAACAAAATTCACCTGCCAGCACCTCTAAAGCTCACTCACTAACTCATTACATTTGGTGGTTTAATCCGTTCAAACACTACAGCGTAATAAATGGGTTAAATGCTACATTATGTATGGGCTAAGGCAATTGTTTTCTGCCTGTTTCCAGCCTTTGTGCAAGACTAAACCATAAGGTGTTGGCTGTAGCTTTATATATAGTCTGAATGGAAGTATGAGACTCAATAACATGCCTACTTTTACAATAATAGATGGTTTCCCTGTAACTCTGCTTGTCTCTCATTTAAACCTGCTTAGACCTCTCATTTCTGTACTGACAGTACTGTTCAGTTTGATGACCAGATGTAAAGCCAACACAAACCTAATGTATAATACCAAGCAGTAGCTGTGAAACACCATTCAGTGGTGCTGTGTGAGAAACCATACTTTCCAACGACCACTGGGTGTCTCTGTTGAGCTTGTAGAGACGCGCCCACGGCACCTGATGAATACCAGTGATGTGATTCAAGACTTTTCATAATGGGCATTTCGGTTACTTTAGTTCAGTTAATTTGAGTGTTAGCCAAGTGCTTTAGGAGAGAAATGATGGTGTGGAGTGTATTGCGGCGTTTGACTCCTACTCAGCCGATGGTTATGCAATCAGATGCAATCAGAGGGAGAGGAGGACCTCAAGGTCTCATCAGCACCTACACGTTGCTGTTCTCTGCGAGCTGGAACGGATCCACTGCACTGTATCGATTCATCCCATGTTCGTGTGTGTGTGTGTGTGTGTGTGTGTGTGTGTGTGTGTGTGTGTGTGTGTGTGTGTGTGTGCGTGCGCGCATGCTGGCCCAAATTTCAGCCACAAAAGATAGTGTGAACAGGCATGAACGTCATGCCGTGGGCGATTTGTTCAAATTTAACAAAGCAAGGTGGATAGTGGGCAGGTGTATTGTCTTTTTTTGGGGGTGTTTTTTTCAAGCTATATTGTTACGTGTGTTTGTGTGCATGTGTGCATGTGTGTGTCCATGTTTGTGCTGCTCACCACAGGTTGTTTGGTGATGTCCACCAGGTCCTTAATGTTGTAATACTGGTGCTTCTCAAAGGCAGAGAAGAGCATGTCCAACACGATCTGCCGTTCAGCCCTCACCATCTTCCCCTCCGACTTCTTCTTCTTCTCATGCTCCATCTGAGGATCAGACTGAATGTTACAACTACTGATACTGACAGTAATAATAGTGACACTTATATACAATATTTCTAATGTTAAAGGGAAACATTGGACCTTATTGTCATACGTTTTTGTGTCTAACTAATGGGAGGAACAATTTTTAAAACTGGTCCAGTGCTGAGTGAAAGGGCCTCAGCCAGCAGCCACAAAACAGGCTGCAATGTCACCACTCGGGGCATATTCACAATATCAGTGTATGTCCGCTAAAAGTGCTTGTTTTTGCCACTAAAAGGCTTAGACTGTTATTATACTGTAAGTGACTGACAATATTATGGAAAGGACCCTACAGAGAAGTGAAGTTTTTTTTAACTTTCACCTTTTGTGGTCTGTTTGTTCTTGTATCCAACCAAGTCTTGTTTTCTTTGTAGGGTCCTTTCCATAATGTTATCAGACACTAGTATCTGAGTCTGTCATTGGCAAAAACACGTTCAGTGGACATACACTGACACTGTGATCTTGCCCCAAAGATTTCACCTGTTTTGCAGCTGCTGGCTGCAGTGGTCTCGCTTAACACTGGAACAAAATCTGTTGTTCCACTAATCACCTAGAGACTTATATACTGAAAAATAAGATTAAGGATGAAAAATACCAACGTTTCCCTTTAATCTGATCATTCGGGTTTGATTCTGATGTCACACTTTGATGTAGTCTGAAAAAAAGGTCCATAAAAGCCTAAATATACATGTCAATACACTGCATGTCTATGTCCCAGTTTGTTTTTGCTTTTTTTTTTAAATCATAATCTGCATTTTTAGTTCATATTTATTTGCACTTCATTAAAGCTGCATGTTACATTAAACTTAACTGATATATTCTTCTTTTAACCTGGTTATCATATTTTATTTGTACTTGTAGTAAATTGTGCCGAGCATATTTGACATTAAAGGGTAACTCCAGTAATTTAGTTATGCATTTTCATTAAAGTTCCAGTGTGTAGGATTTAGAGGCATCTACTGGCAGAAATGGTAAATAATACTCATAACTATGTTTTCATTATTTTAGAATCACTAGAAAATGATAATTGTGTTTTCGTTACCTTAAAATGAGCTGTTTATATTCTACATACATAGCAGCTCCTTTTCCATGGTGTCTGCCATGTTGTTTCTACAGTAGCCCAGAGCAGACAAATCAAACAGGGGCTCTTGATAGGGCCCTTTTCATGTTTTCAGGCTTTCGCATCAGCCACTGTATTTCTCCTACACATTTAGCACATGGGAGAAGTTTCAGTTCTGCAACCTCACTGTTAGATGCCACTTAATCCCACACACTGGACCTTTAAGTTGGTGCACTTACAAAAGACAGAAAAAAAGAAAATTTGAAGCAGTAAAGGGAAATGGTGACTTTTAGTCCCTACTATAGGTCAAGCCCTACAAAGACTGGATCCTACATTTACCATAATTCATTAGCATCTTTTGTTAGACCCTCCTTGCCTGACAAGTCTTTCAAACTGTATGCCAATAGTTTCATCAGGGTTATACTCTCAGACTTTAGAAAGCTCCTCCAGAGCCACAAGACATATTAATAGGCCTGCAACTAACGACTGTTTTTTATCATTATTTGGTCTGTAAAAAGTAAGAAAGCAGTGAAAAATGTCCATCACAGTTTCCCAACTAAAAATGATGTCTTTAAATGTGTTGTTTTGTCCAACCAGTAGTCCGAAACTTAAAGATATTTGGTTTACAGACCTAGATATTTAAGAAAAAGTGCAATTATTCACATTTGTAGGGAATTTTGGTTTTAGAAAAATGTCCCAAAAGACTGATTGTAAAAGTAGTTGCCAACTGATGTTTTTATCAGTTGGCTAACTGTTTAATCAGCTGACTGTTTCAGCTTTAAAATAATACATACATATGTTTTCACAGGTTGAAGACTACTCTGTGATACATAAACTGAACTTAATGTGTAAAATTGGTGGACTGCCCCTTTCAAAATAATATCACATGATATTAAAAATATGGTGAAAAATTACAGTTCCCTCAACATTTTACATTCAGTAGCTGATTCAGATGGTCATGTGATATACAATACATAGTTTAGGAGACCTGTAAATTACTTTTTATTTGTGATATATGCAGGTCAGCCCCGCAACAACTGGCTTTTACTCTCTACTTTAAATTATTTTATAACTACATCACTTAAAAACATGGTATGACCCATTTGTTAAAGTCAAACTGGTCACACACACACACAATCCTTGCCGTGATTAGTTCTCACATTGAAGTCATGGTTGGCCACAGGCTTGAAGACGGTAGTGACGGCTCTCTCCAGCTGCTGTGACAAACGCTGAGGCTTGGTAGACTCTCTTATCTGCAGCCTGACATGCACACAAAGAGAGAGAAAGTTTGCTTTGTGTTTCCTGTGATATAACTTGATCTCTGCTGACAGTTGTGCCTGTTGGCACGGAGACGACTGTCAGCACCTTGAGGTAAAACTATCCAAATAGGCAGTGGCAGCTGCTCTGCTTTCTATTTATTTATTTATTGTTCATCTTGACTCAGCCGGCCATTAAACAAATTTTATTTAAACTGCTGGCCACACAAAATTACCATGATATATTCATAAATATATATAAACCATAAACAGCTATGTAAATAAAACCATAGTAAAGCATGATGATGCATAAGACACTATTTCTATCTACTTATTTTCTTCATATCTCTCATTTCTTTGTAGATGAGTCATATTTCATAGTCCATATGCTGATATATTTAAAACTCATAACATACCAGCTGCATACAAAAGAAATATATCAGGTATAATAATCTGAGCATTCAGATGTTTTTGTTTTTCCTCTCCAATATGAATATTTATGTGGCAAATGCTAAATATAATCATTTTATCTACACTAAGAACGTGTGGTCAAGTCTATTATAAAACTGTTCTCGAATTGTGTCCACACACACACGCTGCCATGACAACATAATGTCCTGGATATCCCGTAGCTTGCCATGATGAAGGGACATTTGTCAGCTGCCACCCAAAATGGGAGATTACAGAGCTGGAGTGAAAAGTGAAAAGACTTTCCTCGTCGAGTCAGAGATGAAATACAACTGGACAGTTCAGAATGTACTCTACAGTACACTGCAGTACCATCCTGACACTTCTAAGAAGAATCCCGGCCAGCTATGTGTCTTCTGACGGCAGATGACGGTAAAGTCTTAGTGGGGGTCAGGAGGGGCACGTCTTTGCACGTCAGTCATGTAAGTGCTTTCCTGTTATGTGTCTCGCTGATTCTATGTCTGACACATAAGCGGTCTCACACACTTAAGCAAACTGTGTTGTGGGCTTGCCTTGAGTTGTATTGTAGCAGTGCATCTGCCACGGTGATGCAGTTGCTATAGCAATACCATGCACTAACTAGCTGGAATAACAGATTCCAATGAAGAGGAGACAGAGACCATTTAAAAAGGCAGAGTGGACTCGAGTGTTTAGTGTACACAAATTAACAGTCGCAGCAGTGCCCTGGTCAACACATCAAACTTCTCTACTCCTGTTAGAATTAATTCACAACACTTGAACAGATTTTGTGCAGGGGTGAAAAAAAGAGAGAACAAATGCTGCCCTGACATTTCTGTGGTTATTTTTCCACTAATAATATGAATAATCCTTAAATAGTTGGCCCGATCCTTTACTGTAACGTCGATGGAATGAATATATACACTGGAATATTACACACTGTGTATCACTGAGTTTTTTGAGGGGTGTAGGTAGGAGGGAAAATTACACTTGCTAGTATATTTTTTTTTACATATTTTGCACAAATGTTACGTTATCATCCAGTGTTGTGCTTGTTTACAATACTGGACAGTCTGAGTGACTGACATAAGTCTGAGTGATGGAATATTCGTTTTAAACTACCCGTAACATCCATTTGCTGTATTTCCATTTACAGATGATTCCTCTCTTTGCTGCATCCCATTATTCTAACTCACTGCAATCACGAGGCACAAACACATTCAAATTCACCACCTTTATTTTGACGTAATTCAGTCTTTTCAAAATTTTGTGGCTGAACAATTTCAAAGTTCACTCACTTCTTCAGCTTCATGTAGTTGTCATTGACAACCGGGCTGCATTCAGCTCTGTGCACCACCATCCCCTCCAGACTGATTTCATCTACAACAAAGACAGTGACTCAGCTGCTCAATCATGATTCAGACACATGCACAGAGACACACCAAGTTTGTTGGAAAAAAAGAGTCAAATGTTTTTTTAGTAAAACTTCACATTTTGTTCGTGTAAAGCCTATTTAAATAGCTTATATATACTTTAAACATTGAGCAAAACACCCATCAAACAACAGTGAAAATACATGCTACAAAATTCAGCTATCTATAATCACCAGTTTCTAATTGTGATAGTGACACGATCCAGATTTTTGTAGAAGCTGAGATAAATCCCAACTGGCACTCAGCAATACAGAGAGTACCTGAAAAGGAAACCAAATATGGTAATTAAACACAATTATTTTGGACATACCTTTATATTGTCCATGCGTCGCATTTTTAAACCTCACACGACCAACTCTGTAACCATACAACCATCATGAGTTTTGGGTTGATGGCACGGGAATCTACCCCACCTTTACCATCCATCCAATATGACATGAACGCGGCTTTAAAAGACAACACACATTCACTTAAGTCCAGAGAAGGATATAAAAAAAATAGCTATAGAATCGAAGATCGGCATGACTGTAGTGCTGGATGTTGAGCCAAACTTGGCCACGGAGGAGACTAAGAACCAAGCGTTCACTCTAATGGAGCCTGACAGAGATGGGCCAGAGAAGTGCCAGAGGGACAGCCCTCTCTGCAGCACTTCATGGCCGTTTACAAAAATGTCATGAAGAGCCACTGAGGAGGAACCAGAGTGTCACTCAACATGAGGTAATACTCACAGCAGCAAAGGCTCTATGTACAAAGAGGGAGGGTTTAAACAAGCAGGTAAACTGTGGGGTTGTCACATTATCACCACCAACAAACATCCGCTCCTCCAGGTGTTGTCTCATATTGTGTACCATTTCTGAGCAGAAAATATCAACCCTCTAAATCATAAAATGAAAAAGAAATATAGAAAACATCCTATATCTACCTACATCTACAAATTCATAGATAAGGAAAATAACCATTAGTTGCAGCCCTAATTCTTTCTGTTCTTCTTAGCAACAGTTGCAGAGCTAATTCATCAGGAACATCACTAAATACAATGCAGTCTTGTAATAAATCCTACATTAATAAAGTTTATCATAGTCAGTTTTGTTGAGAATGGATTCATATTAAAAATATTTTCCTATGTCATTTATTTTACTTTCTATAGTGCAATGCAAGTCGCAGCACCACAGCAATCAACACCTCTGTCACCAGTGTCAGATTTGCAGCCAAAGCCTGAACCCGAGCTCATCTGTGCTGTGCTCAGACATGAAGAATGCAGTTTTCCAATGCTTTCCCCATCAAATCTGACACAGCACGATCTGCAAGAAGGAAACTGCCTCAATCCAGGTGCGCACAGCTGGGAGGAGCAGCCTCAACAATACTGAAGTAGCTGTAATTTTTGTCAGTAATGCTCCTACAAAGAGCTGAGCATGCACCACATGTCATCAAGTCTGGCTTTCTATTTTTAACAATTGTGCAAAATTGGATAATTAGGAGACCGAGTTCTGGTCTCCCCCATGGGGAAGCTGTATTCAGCCATTATGGCCCTCACTTATGGAATAGCCTGCCAGAGAGCATCAGGGCTGCAGAGACTGCTGATGTTTTTAAAAGGAGGCTCAAGACTCACCTTTTTAATTTGGCTTTTAACTTATTTCTTTTACTTTTTTATTCTTCTATTATGTTATTTTAATCTCTTATGCTTTTAAATTATTTATTTTTAAATTGTTATGCATTTTATTATAATTAAATCTCTACATCTTATTTTTTTTTAAATTTATTTATCAATTATTATTATTTTTAATCTTTAAATCTTTAATTTTTTCTAAATCCTTAAATTTTCAGGCATTTTATCATTATTTTATCTCATACTTGTTTTATCTTATCATATTGCCTTATTACCTGTGGCCATAGGCTGTGACACCTCTCAGTGTGGATGAGCTCCACATAGGTGGTTCTTTCCTTTCCTGGTTCCTCAGTGCCCAGCCATGTTACTATATTGACTGTGTGTGTGTGTGTGTGTTTATATGTGGGGGTGGGAGGGGTGGGTTTTCAATATATATGTAGTATTTTTGTTGTATGTTTTTATTTTGTGAAGCACTTTGTGCTGCATTTTGTGTGCTATAAAGTTTGATTGCATTTGGTCTAGTCAGTCAGTGGAAAGTAAGTGTCATAGAACAGCACTGAGGTACTTCAGTATTTCCATTTCATGCTATTTTACACTTCTGTTCCACTACATTTTATTTGACAGCTTTAATCATTACTTTTCAGATTAAAATTTTATTCATATATATACATATACACACATATATATACATATACACACACACACATATATATATACACACANTATGCCTGGGCGTCCTGAATGTTTTATGAACAGCCCCAGACTTCTCAGACTCTTCTAGCAACTTACCGCTCAGAGGGAACTCATTCAGCAGCTCCTCTGGCAGCAGCACAGCATTTCACCCTTCTCTCTCGTTGTGCATTTACGAAAGTTGGTGTCGTCAAGTGATTTTGTCACAAACCTTTGGCAATGTAAACCCATGTGATGCTCGCAACTCGACAAAATACTACATATGTGAATGTGCAATAGTTATGGTATCATAACAGCCGGTCACAGGTTACAGCGTGATGATTAGAGGAGAAGCATAAAGGTCCAGGTGGAAAAGATCAACATATATAGATCCCAGGGTACATTTTTTGTATTTGGGAGTGTTTAAATGTGTAATTTGTGGTAGATGTTATTTTGTTGAACTATTAATATTGTAAACAGAATCTGAATTTTACTCTGAGTTACTGTTGTTTACAAACTAAAGAAATGAGAGATAATTTGTTTAGTTTTTACTGAATATTTGAAAGTAAACTGTTAGGCTGACATGTAAACTGTATCACATTTTTTGCAATTCTATGTTCTTAAATTAATACATACACACACACACACACACACACACACACATATATATATATATAGATATAGATATATAGATATAGATATATAGATAAAAACAGAATTAGTGTCACCAATTCAGTATCTGTCCAAATGTCTCCCCTTCTGTTCCTGAGTCATGACATTGAATAATGACCGTGTTTTTGGCAGAACATTTTGATGTCACAGTGAAGTTGACCTATGACATTTTGGATATGAAATGACATCACTTCATCACCTTATTTAATTAGATATTTGTGCGAAATTTTGTCATACTTAGCACAGAAATTTGTTGTGGCCAAAAATGTGTTCTGTGAGGTCACAGTTACCTTTGCCCACCAAATTATAATAAGTTTATCGTTGAGTCCAAGTGGACGTTTGTGCCAAGTGTAATGATATTCCCTTCAGGTATTTCTAAAATATCATGTTCACAACAATGGGACGGACATAAGGTCACAGTTACCTCGACCTGTGACCACCAAAATCCAATCAGTGCCAAATTTGAGGAAATTCCCTTCCGTTCTTCAGATATCTTGTTCAAGACAATGGGATAGATATACAAATTGGGGGATGGACAACCCCAAAACATGCCTCTGGCCCCAGCTGACCCTGGCACAGAGACATAAAAATGCATGAAATGCTTATAAAATACATCATGTTCTGGATTTAACCAGAGGTTGTTAACTATTTAATCTTCTGATCTTGCACTGTCTGGTTGTGACTCTTTGTGTTATTAGCAGTTCTACCAAAGATACATTTCCCCACTGCACATGTAGTTTTAACTTTAATAACAGCTCAAAAGAGGTCAAATTATTTACACATTTTCAATATTTCACCAAAAAAAAGCACAGATTAGCATAAGCTCTTTTCTACCCCATCAGGACCCCTCAAGTTGAGAACCACTGGACTAATCTTGCCAACCGTATAAAAAGTAGTTAAAACTGCAACAGTGAAATGCTGCTTACACACCTAATAATGTCATATATAATAATATCAATAATATACAGAATACAACAATCAGAAGAATAAAAATTTGACACTTTAGGTGCATTTAGCTGATAATACTTATGTGCTTTAACTTAAGTAGGACCTAAAATGCCAGGCTTTTATTTTAAACGGAGTATTTTTACACTGTGGTATTGATAGTTCTACTAAAGTGAATGATATAAGTACTTCCTCCACCACTACCTGTCATAATCCATTCACAACTCCTCTCACTGTGACATTTTAGCTATTTCTGGTTTACCTTGAACATGTTCTTTTCATTTGTTGCATCCATTTTTCAAGTTGTTCTTTCATAAGCTGCTTTATCCAATTATACATCTGTCCAACCCACAACCTTTTTCTGAAACTATTTGATGCCTCTTCTGCACCTCTCCAATCAGTATTGAGAGCCGCTGTCATTGTGTGTGTGTTTTTTTTTCCTTATTCTTTGCAAATTTTGAATCGACTGTCCAGGAAATGATGAGTCCAGTTGGTGAGCGTTGGCGTTATACTGGCAGCAGCTCGGTCTACTGTGCATTGTTGTATGATTTGGCATTGTTTTTATGTGGATACATAAAAGGTCTGAGAAGCCGCTACATTTCACACCCACCAGTCAACAATACCAGCAGAGAGAGAGAGACACCAAAAGGGCAAACAGAGAGAGGAAGTCTACAGGGAGCGCTAGAGGTCAACAAACAGGCGGTGAGGCATTGATAATGAACAGACTGACAGGTCCAGATGACCTGTGGAGGAGGGAGAGAGGCTGTCAAACTTATTTTAACGTTTTCTCACAATTTCCATAACAGTTAAGGAACCTCAGGTGTGAAATCCTGTCCGGTAAATCCTCTGGGGATTTGTGCCAATTCCCTCCCTTGTCTTCACACATCCCTCACTCACGTCTTTTCCTTTCATTTTCGTCTCTCCCACTTAAAATGCGGGGGCAAAATGCAAAGGAAAGGTACATGAAAAAGACGTCTTTCCCTCACAGGCATCATCTGAAGCAGCGTCAGTTTTTGATGACGTCGGCACAGCAGGATCACTCGTCACTCGGCCTC